GCAACTGCTTCTGGGGCAGTTTCAGCTGCATCTTCAATGCCAGAATGTCTTTCAAATATGAGTTTCAAGTGATCCATGTAGTCTGCTGGGGATTCTCCTTTGTTTTGCTTACAGTTATTTATTTTGGCCCAGTCAGTTTTCCTGGGGCAGATTTTAAGCATGGCCTCAAGAAGGCATTCTCGGGCACCTACTAAGCGACCTCCCATTCCGGGGTCTTGAGGAACCAATTAGCCTGTGCAATGAGGTGGTTACGGACCTCAAAGGGCAGAACACTTCTCATTAATTGGTTTAAATCCGCCCATGTTGGCTCATAACAATTGATTACAGTTTCCAATTCATCTCTAAACTTCTGGGGTTCTTCCCTGATATTGTGGAATTGCTTAACAAGGTTTAGGCGATCTCCTGGGACTGGTGTGGGGGTGGCACACTAAAAAATCAATTATGTCTTCTACAGATTCATGCTCAGTCAATTATGGATAAAGTCGTATTGGTGCTGATAATGTTGTTGATGGGGGATCCCCTATTAGTGCATTTTTCTGTTTTAATTCTTTTATCTGAGATTTTAGTTTTTCTTGGGAGTCCTTAAGGCTCTGAACTTGAGATTCTTGACGTCTTTTGGAAGCTTCTGCATACTATCAAAAAAATGTGTCCCACTGAGTCTGTGGTGTTTTACTGCCTCTTGACTCAAGGGCTCCACGGAGATGAATGATTTTACTTAAATCAAATGTTCAGGGAAACTGAAAGCTAGAATCATCTCTGGTATACCAATTCCATTTGTCTAGAAACTTACAACATTTATGGTTATAGTGTGTGTACATATACAATGCTGGAGTCCCTTTTGGTGGAGCTGGTACATCTTTAGACCCTCCGCTCCCCATGTCTTTAAGCTCAATTCACACAGGTCTTTCACACAGGAGAGGCTTATTGAGGGTGTCCGGTCAGGTCATGAGATTTGCTAGTGGCACAGGAATGCTGTGGCTAATGTCCAAAGACAAGACTCCGCAGAACCAGCACGTAATGCAGTTACTCACTGTTAGACACGGCTCATTCATGAGAGTGGGGGTAGGGAAAATTCATCACACAACCCTGATCTCCTTCAGTCTAAGAGTTTCCACCTTGCGCCATTGTTTTTGAAGAGCACACAGAACAAGTCTGGTGTCCTCAGGGCGGCTGCACAAGTTTTCCACTCCTAGCTTCATAAAGACCTCATAGTTCTTTAAAGAACTTAACTCAATTCACATGGGGAAACACATTCACTGACAATGGTAACACAGTTTCAAACTCTTTTCTACTCACAGTTCCTACTTACATAGTGGGTCTGACAATTCTGGCAGCAAAAGGGTCGGATAGGGTAAGCCTCAAGCAGCAAACAGGAAGAGACGCAGGCAGTCTGTCATCGAAAAGCCCCAATAGAGATTTCAAAAGTTCTCTTACCTTAGTTTGGCACCGGGGCATCAGTGAGGAGATGGTCTGTATCTCAACCGATCACTCCGGGCATCTCTATCTGAGTCACGGCATCAAATTGTGGAAGAAATCAAACTTCATGCTGTGGTTGTATCAGAATTGGCAGAGCCATCTTGGTTTATTTAAAACTATACAAGTGATCACAAGGAGGGTTCTCAAAGGAACTCTGACCTCTACAAGTTTACAAGTGTATTTATACTTTAGACAGCGAGAAAAGATGCAGGGTTCAGACAATGCAACCTTGAAAGAAACAGGAAGAAGTTGATCATTCATTTGTCACACGTAAGCAGTTTACTTTTTCGGCAAACACGTTGTTTTGGGAACAGCTATCAGTTTTGGGGTTTTTTGGTTCCTGGAAAGGAGGAGGTTACCATCTGCACACAGACAAAACAAGGCATGAAGGTTTTTCCTTATCTTAGAACATTTTGAAACACATAACATCAGCATCAGCATCTTTTTCTCTTCTCTTTCTCTCTCTTCTTAGTCAAGTAAGAGGCCTGGTTAAATTTATTTCCACAATGCATAACAAAGCAACTGGGAGCCCAGGACAGCAGGACTCATGGGGACAGCTGCAACTTCTGGCTGCTGCTACGTCAGCAGCATGACTGTGGCTGCAGTGGAAGCTGATATTTCTCTGCCCACCACCTAAGTCAGTGCCTGGGGCAGCTGCCCTGGTCCGCCATCCCAGTTACACTACTGAACTTAAGTATTTTTTGAAATACTTTTAACCAATGGAATGCTACTTATAGGAAAGGTTACTGGCCTTGCAATAACAGATGTTTTTCAGGGCATACTCTTTATAGGTATTCTACTGATAGATGTTCTTGCAATCCCAAGCATTAAAAACTAGAACTCAAACGGTAATCAATAGCTCCCTCTGCGGTCCACTCCAACTCTCAGTAGGTTTCCTTCTGCCTTTCCCTTCTGTGAGGGCCAAAAGAAGGCAGGATAGACTAACTATCCCTCAGCTCCCTAACTAACCAAGATCCAAAAGTATATGCATTTTGATATAGTTTAACAGAAGGGTTGGTCATGGAATACCCACAGATAACATATTAGAGAAGCACCTGCTATGACAAGGACAGTATTCTCTTTTTCTTCTGGACATAGTTACCTAACTGTACTTATAGAGACTTACAAGCAGTGGTCAAATTATAGAGGGTAGGTATTGAAGTCTCAAATGAAAACTGACTAGCCTACTGCCCTCCCAGAGGCAGCATCTGCTTCATAAAAAATTGTAGTCAGATGCCATTGAAGATTGATTTTCTTTGCATCTCATAATTGAATGGGTTGCTATGTAACCTGTTGACACCGGAGAAGGCAGCATTGCTGAGCCTTGTACAACTCTCAGTATCAGGATGCTTACAGACATACCATGGCTTTGGTACCAATGTTATACAGTTGTTTGTCTGAAGGCAGTATGTCTCAAAGTTGCCTGCAAGAGTGGAGTTGAGCCAAGAAGGGGATTGCTGATCACCAAGAGGGTTTTGAGTTACAGGGATTCACATGAGTAATAGTAGGCAGAATACATATATGGAATGTTTACTCTGCTTCAGCTGCTGAGCATGCCCTGCTCAATCACTGATGCCTGCATGCACCAAATCCAGAAACTCAGTAGTGAAGTTACTATCAATACTTCCCTCTTCAGGGTTCTTCAGAGTTATCATCTATGTGAGATGCCCCCAGTGCAGCTTCACCACCACATTTCCAAGTTTGGTGCATGCAAGCACAAGTAGATGGGCATGGCATCTTTGGAAGCATCCCTCCCCAAGAGCATTTTGCACCAGTCACTGTAGACATACTGATTGCCAAGTAGTTGAAGACGAACTAAACATTTGATCACTGGCAGCACCAAAGACTCTATATACTACTTCATAAATGTATGAGACCAAGTATCATTAGATACTGAAAGTAAACATGGAGTCAATACTGTGAATTCCTTTTAATTGCAAGAATGAAGGTTTGCATCTGTTGATTCTACTCAGCCGACTCAAATTTGAATTGTTTTTTATTGTTAAAGGAAACCTGCACATGAAGTCTGCACAAGGGCTAAGGACAGACATTCAAAAAGCCTGAGCCTGAATTGTTTCTATCTCTGAAGGTTAGTCTAACCTGGCTAGGATGAACCACTTTCTAACCACACAGACATCCCCTCCTGACTGAGAAAATGCCAGCATGTGCCTGCAGTGGCTCAGGCTAGAAGCCGAAGGGTGCTAAAGCAGCTCTCCCTTCCCTTCCACAAAGCTTTGCTGAGGGTGCCACAGCCAAGCCCCAGCAGGATGCTCTTATTATGTCCCCCTTCCTGAGCAGAACAGCAGGGAAAGATTATCACCCCATTAAGAAAGCAATGCTTTTCCAAGGAATGACCTTAAGCTACCTGTTGATTATCTCCAAAAAGCCTGCCTACCTTTGTCATCCCCCACAGCACAGACAGTAGCCAGCATGTGGTATGCTAGCTAAGGCTGAGGTCTCTGCATAAGACAGAGGGGTGGGGGGAATAATACTTGTGTAGCAGGGAGAAACCAGGCAGATGTTCTATGCTTGCAAGTCTATGCCAGAGCTACAGTCAGGGAATAGAGGGGAGGTGCCAGCCCTGCTGCGGAGCAGAGAGCCCCACCCAGCCCAGAGAGCAGGGATGCTGGGGGTGTCTGATTTATCTTAAACCAGCAAGGAGCCTGGGACAGATGTTGTATAAAATGGTTTGACCTAAATCAATTAAGTCTGATACTACATTCAACCTGGTTTATCTCAAACCATTTTCAGTCATTTTCAAACTGGTTTATGTGAACTGAACATCTGTTACAGGTTTAAATCAGTTTCTGATCACTTAACCCAGTTTATGTGTAATGTCTGTCCCTAGACAGTATGACTACCCTGTGAAAGACAAAACTGAAGAAGACAACTTTAAGAAACCTTTCTCTGGAAACAAGTATTCTATGTTCATGAAGCACTTATTTCTGGGTGTAATTCATTGAAATAAAAACCCTTTGTAATGGCACACAGAATAGTTTAACAGTATCAGGCAGTGGTCATATTTACAAACATCAAAAATGAGATGTAACCATATTAAGATGTTCCTCAAGCCTAAATCATAAAATCAGTGTATAGGAGATCTATGTGTATAGGAGATTAATATCTCCATAAAATCTCTGAAATCCTGCATGTTTACACTATTGCATGTCCTGGAAATACTTACATATTTTATGCTTTTTGAGCGATGCATATCCTTGTATGAAAGGGCTCTGATAATACTCAGGCCTCTAATGTATGTTACATTTATGACACTAATTAATCACACAATAAATTTTAAATCAGCCACATGTGCAAAGTAAGACCAGCCAGAAGTGCAAAGTAATTATCCTATAATTAACTGGTTAATCATGCAATAAATTTAAACCAGTACAAAATAATTATCACATAATAAAATGACTATCCAGCTATAAAAAGAGCCAACCAGCTATAAAGTTAGTTCTTGAAAATGTGTAACAACTTTATAGCTGGTTTCTATCCTAACTGTTATTGTCTCTAGTAAACAGCTTATAAAACAACCTAAAAAGTAAAATAAAAAATAACACACAAGTTATATGAAATATCTAAAGAAAATGAATTCGTCATGAAAATCTGCAGATATCATTGACAGTATTCCTTTTGTCAATTAATACTTTTAAAGGATATTGTAAGCAGCAATGAATACACTGCTTCCACTTATGAACATATCCCAGCTCAATGGAATGTACTAGAGTACCTGGCAGCAAAAAACAGAGCCAGACTATTATTAGCCCAAACATTTCGTGGTTGCAGTATACATTTTGGCAAAAGGTGTGCTTTATGGAGACAGTGACATATACAGCACCATGTGAACATCACATGATATAGAATTCATATGAAAATTCATATTGCTATGTCATATCATCTATTATAGAATTAGAAGAAAAATGCAGAATCTGACTTTTGGGGTAATCATATTTTTAGGGGTTTATCTCAATCTTGGTGAAATCACTGGAAATATTCCTTAGTATCAGTCATCCATGACAAAAGGGAATGGTGGAGCATTAAATGTTTTGGCAATTCCCTGCATAGTTAGGGTCTCTAGAAGTCCATAAGGCAATTTAGAGCAAAACTTAATGCTTATTTAACTTCTATGCATGACAAGGGACATCCAGAAAATCACATTGCCATAAATGGGTTCCTACGACATGTTCTAGTATGCCCAAAAGAAACTAGACATGACTAACCTATTTGTCAAGTCAGATTTTGAACTTCCTTTGGTGAAAGGTACCATATAATTTGTGAAAGTGTCTCATTCTAATTTCTTGTATTAGAACAACAGATCTCCCATCACCAGCCTTGTGCATGGCAGTGTTTTATTTTCATTTATGCAAAAGGGTATAGATTAGTGGGAGAAAAAGTAAAAATACAATTTCAAAGCCCTTATACTCTTTGATGAGATGTATTCAGTCAGCCATTCCCTAAGCAGTAACATAGTTCATAACAAGGACTAAATGAATGAAAAGCATTTTAAAGAGTGTTACTAGAACTGACTAAAATAGGTCATTTCAATACTTGAGAAAATTCTGAGGTTTTGAAATCTGTCCAAATTGGGAACAAAAATTTGAAATCTTGACATTTTCCATTAAAATAAAACTATTCTGAAATGTTTCATTTAAACTTCTATATAAGATTTACAAGAAATACTCTAACATAATGTAGCATGGACCTGTTTGAATACAGTTGTGACTGCTGAATCCTGGTTCCCTCTATTGAGATAGATGGATTATTTTTAGGTTTTTAAGTCATTTAGGCTCCCTTTGTGCTAAGGTATATCAACAATAATACTAATACCACTATGCTATTGATTTTTCTTCCAGTCCCTTGTTACTACAAAAGAAGGATGAATAGACAATTAGGTACAAATTATTTATATTCTCGTTATAAAGACATTGTTACTTACAAACCATGTTTCTGGCATCACTGTAGTAAATAACAGTTTGAACTCCTCCTTCTCCCCTACTCCCTCCAGTAGAAAAGACTGATGGAGGTTGCAGAGAGATTTCCAGGATCTGAAACATTTTTGTAGATAATTAGGCATGTCACTATGAACTGGCCTCAGCATTAGTTCTAACAGACAGGCAATAAAATTCTACTAATAATGCAGAATCTGTCACACTTTAATAAAATTCAAAATGCTTACCCTGCAAAGCAATTTCCCCCCAAAATTCAAGATCTGGATTCCATCTCTTTGCTGCATAGAATATAATTGTAGAAATAATTCTAGTGCCATCACTTCTCACTAAGGACACATCATCCGGCACATACAAAAGATATATACAGAATAAAGGAAAATTCATAAAGTTATCGATTCATAGAAGAAAGAACATGTAGTTGGAAAAGTCTTTCTGTGGAAAATACTTAATTTTAGCAAAAAGTCATAAAGTGAAAAAAAAATTCTGAAAATGAAAATTATCAGTCTGGCTGAAAACCATCAAATCCTACTGAGAAATGCCACTGCAGTGTGTGAAAGGAGTTGTTTATCAAGTATCTCATTTCTGAATTATCCTCTAAGGGCCTATGATTAGCCACCTACTCAAATCACAGTTGTACACACTTCGTGGAAATCATGAAATCCGGCGATCTCCATGAAATCCACAGAAAAAAACAAGAAAACACTTACTAAAAACAAAATACTAGTTGCCCAGTGGAAGCCAGCAGTCCTCCTGGCTGCATAGCCCAGCACAAAAGGGACTGCTGCCACAAAGGCAAGCAGGCAAGATGGCTGCCACTCCCACCCCTGACTGCTGATTGGCTGAGAGAGCTGTCAGTCATGCAGCTCCACCCCTCTCCACCAATCAGTGGTGAGGAGTGGGACCCACATGACTGACATCCCCATCCACCAGTCAGTGGCAGTGGGCGGAGCCACCAGGGCCCCTTGGACAATCAGAGATGGAGGTGGGCCCCACCTGAATAAGCCCATGAAAGTGGGAGCCAGCCCTGTAAACTGCTCATGAAATTGGTCAGTCACCTCCTTGAGTTGGGTAGACCCCTACCTATGATTCATTTTGGTGAAGTGGCTTGATGAGCCACCATGCTGCATCCTGGCAATCTCCAACCTAAGTTGGAGCACTTTGCCTGGAGAACTCTGGTTGAAATCCTCTTTTGCCTCCAAGGCTCTGTCCACTGTGCTTGCTTGAACTTAAGCACCTTCCTCAGAAGATCTGATCCAATACTCTCCATGGGCAGCCTAGTGTGCCTCCAATCTCAGAGAGATGTGTAACTACCTCTCCTCACTTCTGTCAATAGGCAGACATAGATAACCTCATGTGCTTCAGTTAAGATTTGGCTTGCTGCATCTCACTAAGAGGGAAGGCACCCTGTTGGAATTCCTTTTACTCTGAGGAGGTGCTGCCTCAGTAGCAAATTGACAGGCAGACACTGGGGAGAAGGGGCCTCCCACTCCTTGACAAATCACCTAGGAGTTCGAGGCTCCTCCATCCCCTGTTGTAGCTAGGCCACTGGCAGCCACAACTGAAAGTGTCAGGGAACTAGAGAGAGTGAGCATGACTGCAGTGTAGTGGTTAAGGCTCCTGCTCCCAGTGTTAGTTATCCGTTATACCCAATCCATAAACATTCCCAGCAACATGAACAAGAACACAGGAGACTCCATTCCCTGATTTCCCTGACCACTAGACTGAACAATCAAGTTTCCTCTTGCTTGCTCCCTGGACTGTTCATGTATTTAACATCACATAGTCCTTAAATACCATGGATAAACAATAATATCAGAATTCAGGTCATCCATTTCCTTCTGGTGCCTTATCCATTACACTACTAAGCAAGACTTACATGCTATGATCATGCCTAATCTCAGCATCAATTAGTTGATACATGTGGTCTTTTTCTACTCAAGGATTTGGTGATTTACATAGAATTTATATTCTTTCCCAAATTAAATAAAGTCAGAACCAATGTAAGCAAAGTTAGACACCTAAATGACCATACTAGATTGCACTTGAGCATGTGCAATAGATCAAGTCTAGGAAAATGTACAAAGATTTTCAGGCTAAGAAGGTAGCACATGAAAGGCACATAAGTAAACTAGGCCCTTTAACAGAATTTTGCCTATTGTGTAGGAAGGAACAAGATCATGTTTAGAGACAAATGTTTTGAGGCATAATATGATTTGGGCTAAAACCCATAAGGCCTCAGCATGGGCAGAAGGCATCTATACAATTCCTGTGGGTCAGAAATTCAAAACCCAATTTTCAGAAGGGTTTTTTGGGGGATGTAAACTATAGGTGTTTTAGGGCTTGGGCCCCAAGAAGGATGATGCTTTTTCTTTTCTTTAATGGGCAAAAGGGATACAAAATTACCCCTCAGCCCCTCCCAGATGTTATATTCTAACCTGCCACATCTTTGATGTTTTTCTTATAATATTCAGTGGAAGATATGAAAAAAAACAAAACAAAACCCTGCTCCAACCCACCCAGCCAGTTAGGTGGTGTTAACAGGGCTCATCCGTTCCTTACACCCATCCTCACGACTCCACAGTCGTTATACTGAGGGTCACAAAAATTTAAGAAAAAAAAAAACTCTCCACAAGAAAAAGAAAACTTTCCTCTGCTTCCCCAGCCACCTCAGGCCATCATTCAAAGGTCAGTCTGTCCCTCTAAGAAGACCAAGCTTCCTGCTGCCACCCAGGTCCTCTCTCTCTCTCTCTCTCTCTCTCTCTCCACATACTTGGAAAGCTAAGTCCTTATTCCACTGGATCTCTCTGCCCACAATGCTGTCCACCACACCAACTTCTTCAGGGTCCCTCCAATCTCTGCACACCCTCTCCCCAATGCCTGCCTCCTGCAGTTTTCCCAGCAGACATTGGTAAGGGAGTTCCCCTCTGCTCCAGGCTTCCCATTGCAGGGTTCTTCCCTGGGCTGCCCCTCTCTGGGGCCAGAAGTACTTGGTGCTGTGCATCTCTGGCCAATCCAGATCCAGCATTTACTCTGGAAGTGCTGTTGCCCACCACTCTTGCTTCCAGCAATCCTCCTGGCTCCTAAGGTAAACACCAGGGTGTTTGCCTTTTTTCCACGGAGCTCTCCCCTGGCCTTTGTTTCCTCTTGACGAGGGGGAGGGAGTTGTTGTCTTCTTAACTTAAATGTTTTGGATTTCTGTTAAAAATTGAATATTTCTTGGCTTTTTGATATTACATTGAAATTTTCTTCAGAAAGATGGCACTTTTAGCAAAAACCTGTGTTGTACTGAAAACCTTGTATTCTATCAAATACCATTTTATTAGAGAATTATCAACTGATTTTAATGAGAATCCTTCCTTGATCATATTAAGAATTGAAGAAGTTTTGTTAATTAGTAAGCTTAAGATGATCACAATAAGTTAAATTACATAAAATAAACTAAACAAATATAATACTAACCAGTTGTAGATTATACAGTTGTGGACTAATATATCTCTAACATTTATTGTTCCTGATCTTACAATCAGATATGGATGATCAAATCTTTGTGCCTGTATGGAGCCAGATTGGCTACCATGGGACTTCATGACACAAAACCTTGCCCTTGTGGAGCCCCACAGAATTAAATCAAAACCCGTTGAGTTCACCTGCGTAGATCCAGCTGTAAGATCAAAGATAGTTATTTGTGTACAGAACTGGGATGAATGTTGTGTGCTAGAGCAAAAACTATTATTTCCTCTCAGTAGTTGTTTTCATTATGTGAAAAATAAATAAAATAAGTCTATGGTCCTATTTTCCAAAAAAAAAGGTAAAACAATGGTGATCTTTCTTTTTCATAAGCAGTCTTCCAAAAGCAAAAATGATAGCTGATATATAAACTTCAGGCAGAAGTATTCCCTAAACATGTGTCACATTTCTGATCTTCTTTGGGTTGACTGGATAACCAGCATATCCTGAAGATGAAGCTCTGTTGTCCTGTGCTTCATGGGGGACCTACAGTTAATAAAAAGAAAAAAAATACAGAATAAATTATATCAGAATAAAACATACCATTAGTTCATAGTCAAAATCCAAGTGTAAAGTAAAACAAGGAAGGAAGGAAGGAAGGCCTTTTGACTTTTTAACTACTTAGTTAGAGGTTTGGGGTACACAGAGTTGGCCCATCCAGGGTCCAGGTCCAATAAACAAAGCAAAGACAAACAAATTACCATCAAACCAAAAGCATGATGTCATTACATTCATAACATCACACCATGACAGACACCTTTGCTCTATTACATGTCGTGCCTAACATGCCGTTATGTGGTCAGGACACCGGCCACATGGTCGTATAGACCAAAGCCCTCTATAAACAAATGATCCCTATCCTGCTCTATCCAATCATACACGTGGCAAAACCTTCAACTTCTCACACAAAGAAAAAAGCAAAAAGCAGCCTGGTAAGGGCCCAAGGCACAGCATGATCTGGGAGTTTAAGTCTGACACCGAGCCTGCCCAGTCACCCACACCAGTCATGACATCAGTGTGCATATTGAAGATGGCAATCCTCCATGTGGCACAGTGTTCCCTCAAGGGCCCAGCATGCCTCAAAGGTGGGCACTGTCCGCAGGAGCACAGTGTGCTCAAACTCCAATGAGAGGCGCACCCACAGCAGGAGACCGAAAAGCTGCAGGGCATCCTCTGAGCCAATCCCACTAAGCTGATTGTGGCAGTTCTTGAGGACAGCCATCTTGGCCTGACCCAGTAGAAAGTTGGCCAGGCGGATGGCGCCCTGCTCAGCCGCCCGGTATGGGTAGGAGCACATGTAGATGGTCTCCGAGAGGTTCCTGCCCAGTGCTCACAGTGGTGGCTCAAGGGCGACAAAGAACAGCCACAGGTGGGGACAGCCAAGGAAGGCATGAAAAAGGTTCTCCTCAATGTCCCTGGGGCAGAAGGGGCAGGTTGTCAAGGCAGCTGGGTCAAAGTGGGATGCAAACATGCTAGTAGCTAGGATGCTATGCAGCAACTGCCACTGCAAGTTGCCAGCCTTCTTGGCAGTTGGCGCCTTATACAATGTGTGCCAAGCCAGGTGGGCTGATGGGGAATCTGGTTGCCCCAGGCACCATCGCCATGGTGTATCGGGGTGACCCACCAGCACCTGGGCATGGCAGACATGAACCACCCAGGCATATAGGCTTCTACACAACAGAAAAGCAAAGGAGCAACCCGTGTCACTGTCGGGAGGCACAGGGAGCGTCAGCAGGGTGCCAGGCCTGCCGGCCAACTCACCCACCACAGCTGGGGTGACTGGCAGTGCAGGAAAAGCCTCGCTCTGGGCATCTGTGGAATGGGGGACCTGGCATGCCCGGAGATGGTCATCCAAGGTAGCTGCTGCCTCCAGTGGGAGGGCAGCCTGGATGTCATATAGGAGATGGCCCACACTGTGGATGGAGTGCATGCCTAGCCAGGTGGTCAGGGCCTCAGGTGAGAGCCAGGCCAACTGAGCGGAGTCAAGGAGTGGCTGAGGTGGAGGACACATGCCTGGATGGAGGTGGCCATGAGCTTGGTGGAGGCCAGGCTCAGCACAGGGCACCTCAGGGCTGGGTTGTGCACCAGCTCTGAGGGGCCAGCTGCTGAGGGGCTCCCTCAGTAGCTGCGGGAACTTCAGGTGCCGGGCCCAGGGCTAGAGGCGGAAGGTGGCCTACCAGGCTTGTACCATGCCACAGTAGAAAGCCAGAAACACTGTGCAGTTCAGGAGCATGAGGTCCAGCAGGAAGAGCTCCTGGTTGAAGCCAAGGGCCCCTACCCTCTGCAAGAACCAGCACGCCAGTTGTTGCCAGGGTGTGCACTCCTCACCGTAGAGGATTCCCTGAAGGGCTTGCAGGCAAAAGGCGGCCACCTTGCTCATGAGGTTAACCAGGCTCTACCCCTGCTCAGTGACAGGTAGGTAAAGGACAGCTCATGGGAGCCAGTGGTGTCCATCCCAGAAAAAAATCTACCAGGAGGCAATGGAGCCTCTCGAATAGGTCCTGTGGTGGGTCAAGTACAGCGCACCAGTGCCACAGGGTCACCACTACCAGGTTGTTTGTGATGAGGACACGTCTACAGTAGAAGAGGCTGGGTTGGTGCCAGTGTCACCATTGTAGGCAGACCTCCACCCCTTCCTCAAAGCCATCCCAGTTGCATGCCATGAAGGTTGGTGGCCCCAGGAACCCACCCAGGACCTTAAGGCCTCCTGGCAAATCCAGGAGTATCGCACTGATACACTTGCCAAGCAGCAGGGTATCACTCTTGGCCCAGTCAATATGGGCTGAGGAGACATATTCATAGGCTCACTGGCAATCCATCAGAGCTCACATGTCTTCCTGGGTGTTAAGGAAGATGGTCACGTTGTTCGCATATGCTAACAGCTGGAGCAGCGGGCCAGTGGATGGGCCCATGGCTATTGGCAAGGCCACACCACTCAGGCAGCTCCACTCAATGGCCAGGGCATACAGCATGCCTGACAGGGGGCAGCCCTGACAGATGCCGCTGCATGTAGGGAATGTGGTGCAGAGCACACTGTTCACCTTGAGCAGGCTAGAGGTGTCTTGGTACAAGACCCAGAGGGCCCAAGTGAAGAGGGGCCCAAAGCCAAAGGCCTCCAGGGTCTGGAAGAGGTAGGCATGGACCACCCGGTCGAACGCCTTCTCCTGATCCAGAGATATGAGGCTGATGTCTAGGCCAAAGCGTTGGCTGGATGTGAGTAGGTCACACAGCAGGAACAGGTTGTCTTGGATGGTCCTGCCCAGCACGCAGTAGCCATGATGGAGGCCATGATGGTGCAGAGGCAGGTTGCCAGTGCTTTGGCCAGAATCTTGTAGTCCATGCACAGCAGGGAGACGGGCCTCCAATTCTTAATGCAGCCAAGGTCTCCCTTCTTGGGCAGCAGCATGAGCACCACTCAGTGGCAGCTGATCATCAGTACCTTGTTGACAAGACTCTCCTTGAAAACGCACAGGAGGAAGGCACCAAGGAGAGAACAGAAGGTCTTGTAGAACTCAGTAGGTAACCCATCAAGGCCTGGGGCTTTGCCAGAGGTGAGGCCAGCTGGTAGGCCTGTGCAAGTCGCCAGCGATCCAATCCAGCTTCAGATTCAGCCACTTCAGATGGCCGCGATCCAATCCAGAGCTCCAGACTGGGTTTCTGCCTCAATCTGGCCGAAGTGGGGTCCGCAGCTCCCAGGCCCCCACCAA